TTACTACAGAGACGCAAAATTAAAGCTAGTTCATGTAGTGCAAAGACCTAAAGAAAGAAATTTAGATCGAAGGAAATCTAATAATTCGATCACGAGAATAAATTTAATGCTAACCGCTACAAATGCATCCTCATAATTATGAGCTTCCAATACCCTATCAATAGCAGAATTATTCGAAACTTCAAGACCAGATGTCTTTACAGAAGAAAATAGCTGTTGCTGTTGTTGCTGATGTTGCTGTTAATGATGTGTTGATGTTGATGTTGTTAAGAATATACAGAAAGTGGTTGAGTTGTAAAACAGTTATGTGGAATCAAAATGCGTTTCAATTTACCCAAAGTGACCGAGCTAAGTGATGTTGTAATTCGTCAGATGTACAAGTTACTGGTTGCTCAACATGTCTTGTGAGATTTAATAGCTTGTAGGTGTAGTTGCTGAAGTTGCTGTACGGATAAGGTTAGATGCTCCAAAGAAGTCTGCAAACGTGCCAATGTATTCTGATCTCCAACACTTTCCATATTAGAATACGAGAAAACTTGTGTACTCTTGTGAGTAATGTCTTGTAGATCAGCCTCGAAAGTAGCAGTTATTTGTTCAAACATTACATTTGTAGCTTTTTGATATGACGGAATGAGTACAGTTGTGAAATTTTCCCTGAACGTTTCCTCAATAACAGGCCTGAAAGCCTTAGAGACCCCTTTAACAATTGAGTCTATGACTGGAGTTTTTGCAAGAATACGCTGTACATTGTCTGCTACAAATTTTTCGATAGCAGCTGGAATATTCTAAATTATTAAAAATGTAAATAGTGAGTTGTTTGAATATTTAATATATAACAATATTATTTATTATTATTATTTTAGAACCTTAGTTACCATCTTGTTTAATGTCAGTAAAACTGAATTATGAACTTCGTTGCGATTCCAATAATTTGTGCTGATTGTCTGAGAAACGATTTCAAGAATTGCTTCTTGTCGTGAAGTTACCGCAGCTTGATGAGCTGTACGTTCTCCTTCAATTTTTTGAACTATTCAGAATGACTGAATTATGTGGTTAAATAAGCTAATTTGTTGACTTAATTCAAAAAAAAAATAATAATTATAAAAAGAACATTGTTTTTCTACATCTTTCCAAGCTTATTAGTAACGTTTTTTTTTATTTCCCTCAATTTTGTCTGCATTTGAGCGGGTGATACTCCAGCAACAAAAGCTGCCATTGAAGACTGTTCAATTGTAGGTGGAACTTCTGGAGATCCAGATATATCACCAGGAGTTTGCTTGATATTCGTACCATCTTGAAGTATTTCTGTCGCTTTCCTGTTTTTCTCACCACCTGCATTGGATTTTCCATTTTTTGGAACTCCTTCAGCTGACTTTTTGCCAGCCGATTTATTCGTCACTTCTGTAGATTGAATAACACTTTCGTTATCCATTTCCTTTTTGACACGATTCTTTTTTTCTTGAAGCTTTTTCTAAATCTGAAGGCATATCGGTATTTTGAACAACTATCATTCAGCTGCTGTTTTATCTCTGTTAATTTCTGTTGATTATTTTGTATAGCTCTTAAAGATTTTTTTATAATGTCATTCTGGTCTTGACTGTTCAGAAGGTGACTCACTACCATTATTCTATTTATAAAGAAACACGCGAGATCTTCCTCCTTATTAGTGTAACTCATAATCGACCAATAAAATTCATGTTTATTCAAGCATGATAGGAATTTCCAAAAAAATAATCGACATTTTATAAATAACTAAATTTGATTAATTAAAACTAAAGTTTAACCTTACACTATCAGTTATCTCGCGATACCTCTATAACCGATTGATTATTGATATCTAACACCTTATAACTTGCTTACGTAAAAAATTTAATGTAATTTCTTTGTGTTACATACTGGCATTGTCAGAATCGCTTCTAGTAAAAGTTGGTGGAAAACTTGATCTCACTTGATTTAAAACGTTTTTATAAAAGCTATATTTCTAAAAAAAACAATCTGGCGAAATTTTAGGTAACCTTAATTATAAAAAATTTTGACTTGTTCCAATTCGAATTAAATTTTCTACTATAAACCAATA